GAAAGAAAGAAAGAAAGAAAGAAAGAAAGAAAGAAAGAAAGAAAGAAAGAAAGAAAGAAAGAAAATCTTTTCTTCTTATAGAGGCCAGTTTTCAGAAAGTTAGAAGAAATTATATCTCAAATATATTAGAGTATTACTATCTTTAAAAATATTATCTCTTGATATTGTGGTATTTGGAGTGAGGGATGAATTGAGAAGAATCTTGAGTTTGGGGGGAAGACCTACAATTCCATTCAGGGAATGTTCTATGGTGTGACACTTCCTCATTAATTCAATGAAAAGGCACAAGAATCTGAACAAGAGAATAATAATTTTCAGAAAGATAAAAAATTGTGTATTCACCTGACATACATATACACTTAGTTATATATAATATATAGCTATATAACTATATATAACTATATATATATATATATATATATATATATATATATATGCCAGTCTTTCTTCCTTCCTTTTCTAGTTTCTGCAGGATTCTTAAATTTGTATTTCCTCACTTGCCTGCTCTGATCATGAGATTTGCATATATACTTTGGCTTAATTTCCTTATAAATATGAACTTGAACTAGGTCATACTGTCCATACCAACCTGTTTTTGCAGAGTTCCACAGGCACAGGCTTCCCATCTCATTTCCCTAACCCTTTGCTTGTTACAAAAAAAAAATCCCTGTATTAATGACAGTCTTGGAAATATGAAAAGTAAACAAACACAACCCAAAACAATTATAAATAGAGCCTTAGAAAAATGAAAAGATTTAATAACATAGAAAAATTCAGGGACAAAGTTACATTTAGATAGGAGGAATAAGTTCTAGGGTTACATTACACAGCAAGGTGACTATAGCTCATAATAATGCATATTTGTAAATACCTAAAATAGAAGATTTTAAATCTCTTACCAAAAAAAATTTTTGAAGTGATGGATATGATAATCATTATGATTTGATCATTCCACAATGTATATACATGTCAAAACTTTACATTTAATATATATAATTATTATTGGTCAATTTGAAATTAAGCTAAAAATTTAAAAAATAGTCCAAAGTATCAGAATATTATACACAGTGTAAGTGAGAATTGGTGGATTAAAGATGAATACAAAAGGGACTAGAGCTAGGGCTCAGTGGTAGTGCATTTGCCTAGCATGTGTGAGGCACTGGGTTCRATTCTCAGCACCACATATAAACAAATAAAATAAAAGTCTATCAACAACTAAAACAAAAATTTTGTAAAAAGATGAATACAAAAGAAATATACTTAAAATGTCCCATGAGATAAAAAGATAAAAATATGAGAAAAATATAAAATCCATGGAAGACAGAGAAGTTCCAATAGAGTTCAGAAAGTAATAACAGAACACAAAGATGTAGTGTTAAAAAAGACATTGGCTAAGATTGTACACAGTTGTTTACAAATAAATCTCCAGTGGCAAAAGGCAACTCATTGGATACAACATCATAAGACTTCAGAACACCAAGGTTAAAGAGAAGACTTCTGAGGCAGCCAGAGAAAAAAGTTGAATAGGCATGTTTAAATATCCAATGTAACCACAAAGGAATATTTTTTAAAGTTTAACTTTAAAATATAAATGACCAATGCARAAGAAAAAATAATTTAAAAAACTAAATCACATCTAAACTACAAAGAAGGGATAAAAATAAAGTAGAAAAATCTGAATAAATAAATAAATAATATGATAATAACAACCTACAAAATTAATAAAGTCAAATAACAGCAAAACATGCCCATTAAATAAATGGCAAGACTGCCATTCTGGACTTCCCCAACCCCCACGTTGGCAACAAGCCCCCAGCTTCATGCTACTTATGGGAGGCACAGTAAAAAAAAAAAATAAAGACATAGAAAGTAAAAGAATGGCAAGCACTATGCTACAAAAATACTCATAAAAATAAAACTCAAGTGATTTATCAATAGAAGAAATATTTAGAATTAAAAAATAATATAATTATGCTATAGCTAAAGTAAGAAATTGTATAGCCTTAACTAATCAATAAATTTTAAAAGTTGGGAAAAACACCCAGCATTGCATATTCAAAGAAAGAATGGTGAACATTAAAAAATAGGGAGTTAGCAAGGATGGTGGAATGTGATGGTCATCATTATCCAAAGTACATCTATGAAGACATGAATTGGTGTGAACATACTTTATATACAATGAGACATATGAAAAATTGTGCTGTATATGTGTAATAAGAATTATAATACATTCCGCTATCATTTATTTTTTAAAAATCAATTAAAATTTTTTTTAAAAAAACAAATATTAACCAAATAGAAAGTGAATATATATAGCTGGCCAGGGTGGTATACACCTGTAATCCCAGGGACTAAGGAGGCTGAAGTAGGCAGATCACAAGTTCCAGACCATCCTCAGCAGCTTAAAGAGACCTTGTCTCAAGACAATATAAAGGGGTCTGAGGTATGGTTTAGTGGCAGAGGGCCTCTGAATTCAATCCCCAGAACTGCCCCCCAACACACACACACACACACACACACACACACACACACACTACTCTGATTTGACCATTCCACAATGTGAATATACAATAGAGAGTACTAACTAAGCCAGACTAACAAAACTGTTACACTTTTATAAAGATGCAGTTTACTAATTTAAGAAGAATTAGAAAATTTGAATTGTACTACAAGCATTCAAGTGAYTAATGGTTCAAATTTATGTCCATAAAGAAAACAAAAGCCTAGATGGCCATACTTCACCAAAAAAAATCAGAATTCTGTAATTATCAGCAAAACCTCTTATCACCAAGTATAAACTATTTAAAAAAACTGATTAGGAAGTAATTACTGTTCTTCAAAGATAATCTGGTTTTTAATTTCCTGAGTTTGGTTGGATCATTACTGGGGGATTTTTTATCTTGGGGATAGTTTATTTTCTATTATGTAACCTACTTTTATCATAATTTTAGGAACATCAACTAACTTGTCTAATGGCACCAGAAAATTCATACGTAATTCATTTCTGCTCTTTCCCAATTATAACCTTGGGAAATGCATCAGTGACTATACTGTTATCTACCATATGAAGATACTGTGCACCCAAAAAAAGAATATTCACAAATTCTTAAATTGTAGTAAAGAAAGTAAGTATCTTGAGGATCTCTATAAATATCTATGAAATTAACCTTGGGTTCAGACCACAAAACATGTATAAACCTGTTGTTCATTCAAGGAGAGAGGACACATGTTTGGTACATGTGTCATTTTTCAAGCCAAGGAAAACTTCTAAAATATAGTAAAACTTCAAAAGCATATCAAGGTAATTTTAAAATAATTATCAGGTAGAGAATAAGAGCTACTAATAATCAACCATCTATTAGTATAACTTTTTWAAAATATTTATTTTTTAGTTGTAGTTGTGTAAAGGTCGGGCGAGCGTCRGAGGAAGAGAACACCAAGAGACTGTCTCATGCAACAGCAAAGGGTTTAATGGGGGTCCAGCATGCTGGGGCTCAGAGCTCACTTGAATAGAGCAGAGAGCCCCGGGAACAGCTTAAGCAAAGCTTATATACTTTCCTTGGAGAGGGCAGGGACTTCACATACAGCATAGCCAATCATTGCACGGTTTCTGGGAGGGGTTGTTTTCGTAGAGCAACCAGATGGTCAGGGGAGAYTTCAACATACATTTAGTGGGCATTTCCRGGAGTTGTTTTCAACTTCTACATGAGTTTCAGGTTCCAGGAAAACAGAACTTAATTCTTTTTTTTTTTTTAAAGAGAGAGAGAGAGAGAGAGAGAGAGAGAGAATTTTTTTTTTAATATTTATTTTTCAGTACTTGGCGGACACAACATCTTTGTATGTGGTGCTGAGGATCGAACCCCGGGCCGCACGCATGCCAGGCGAGCGCGCTACCGCTTGAGCCACATCCCCAGCCCCCAGAACTTAATTCTTACATTCTTAACCTTTTACARTTGGACACAATACCTTTATTTTATTTATTTATTTTTATATGGTGCTGAGGATTGAACATAGGGCCTTGCCTGTGCTAGGTGAGCACTCTACTACTGAGCCACAACCCCAGCCTAGTATCACTTTTTGAAATATCAGTTTTTAATTTAGTGCTGATATAGAGAATACAGCTCAGAGTTCATTTTTGCATGTTGTGTTTGCTAAATTATTTTAATAATTTAATGTAGATGACTTTAATTAATGTATTCAAAGCATATACATATACAAATAGTGTATTTCTTTTCCAATACATATTGTAGATGTTTCTTGTTCTTGATTTACTGCTTGTCAGACAGATACTGAAAGAATGAACAAGGCTCGTCATCAGAGAAAATGCCCATTTATTGAGGAACAGCTCTGCATATTTATAGAGCCAGGGGTGGTTTGACAGTTATGACAGTTTAACAGTTTAATGGTTTGACAGTTGGTACAGGGATGTTTTCTGATTGGTGGGTAAGGATCATGTGAGTCAGCAGGGCTAGTCTGATTGGTGGGTATGGATCATGTGAGCCAGCAGGGCTAGTCTGATTGGTGGGTAAGGATCATGTGAGCCAGCAGGGCTCACCGTTGGATGGCTCTCTTGGGGGATGAGGAAGTTAGTCTTTGGAGCCAGGGTGACTCCCAACAGATACAATAGTTAAATTGAATCAAAGTGACAACAGACCTCCATTTTCATTCCAATATCAGAATTAACATTGTAATATTTTAGCATTAAGTATGATGTTTATTATAGAAACTTTATAAATTTAAGGAGTTTCTTTTTTTTCCATGTTTGGTTTTTTAAATCACGAAAAAGTGTACAACTTTATCAGATRCTTGTTACTGCTTGTATTGAAGTGAGTGAATGATTTTTCTTCTTTGCTCTGTTGAATTACATATATTCTATTGAATTACATAGTGAATTACTTAGCCTGAATTTGTAATGGCAAATAATTATTAGTCATATGATAAACTGAATAAACCAAACAGTGTTATGATGTATAAATTGTTATACATCAGACTGCTTGCTACTATTAGTAAGGATTCTTACATCTATGTCCATAAAAAATTACATAGATGTAATTTCAGGTAGATTTGTTTTGTTTTGTAAAATATTTATAAAGTTATGGAATAAAAAATATTTAAGAAGTTTTTATTTGGTCAAAAATTTTGTGGAATGTTCATTGCAGCTCAATTTACAATAGCTAAGCTATGAAACCAACACAGGTGCCCTACAATAGATGAATGGATAAAGAAAATGTGGTATAAATACACAATGGAATGTTACTCTGCCATAAAGAAGAATGAAATTATAGCATTTGCTGGTAAATGGATGGAATTGAAGGCAATCATGCTAAGTAAAATAAGGCAATCCCCAAAACCAAAACCTGAATGTTGTCTCTGATATATGGATTCTAACTCACAATGGGGAGACAGGGTTTGTTCTTGGAGGCTTACTGAATTGGATGGGGGGAACGGAGGGAAAGGTGGGGGATGGGAATGGGAAAGAGAATGAATTAGACATAACTTTCTTATGTTCATATATGAATACACAACCAGCATAACTGTACATTATGTACAACCTCAAAATGGAAGTTATTCTCCATGTATGTAAGATATGTCAAAACACATTCTAGTATCATGTGTAACTAAARAGAACAAATTTAAAAATTTTAAATTTTGTGGAGGAGGATTGGTGTTATTTTTTGTTAAATGATGGAATTCACTTGTGGAAATTGTGTATGGAGATTGTTTTTTGGGAAGGTTTTTTAACTATCGATTGATCTAAGAATAAAGATAGAATTAATTGAGTATTTTATGAGGCAAAAGTTTTGGTAGGATCATTCATTACATCTAAATTTTCCAATTAATTGGAGTAAATTTGTTCAAAACATCTTAGAACATTTTTAACATCTGTATTATTKATAGTGATATCCCCATTTTAATGCATAATATTCCTGATTTTTGCCACTTGCCTTTTTTCTTGAGCAATCTTAACAGAAGTTTGTCAGTTTTATTAGTCTTTTCCAAAAAAGAAAGTTTTCAGCTTTGTTAGTTCTTTTTATTGTGTGTTTGTTTTCTAATTTATTTAGTTATATTCGTTTTCATTTTCTTCTACATTTTACACTTGGGAGATCAGTTTTCTAACATCATAAGATGGGTTCCTACATCATTTATTGTCCATGTGGTTTGGTGTATCAATATTTTTTCCTGATTAGATACTCTGAATGTCTAGCATCTGTGATTTGATGTTTCATTAGTTTGAGAAAAATTTTAATTCATGGGAAGAGAAAACATCCAAGGGAAAAAAATGAAAAAGTTTGAAAAGCAATTATTGGCCCTTGGAGCCTTGATCTTATCTACGAAGCAGGAAACAAATAAGTTAAGGATACTGCAGAACAAAGAGCCTGTTATGGAATCAGAAAACAGTTATCTACTCCTCTACTACCTCCASTATCTCCACCATCTCCACCACCTCTCAATTATTCACTTCAGAAAAACAGACATTTATAAAGAAACTGCATTTCATTTTACCAATAAAATAGCTTTCATAATCTGTCTTTGTTCCAAATATATCATCATCAAAWCATAGAATTCCATGAAAACTCACAATTCAAAAACCAAGGAGGCAACTAGTTTTCAAGAAAAACTAGTTTAAGAATACAAAAAAAGATTAAAAACAAAACATATAACAAAATTATTTTTTAAGAACCATAGAGGCAACTTACAAATATGCCAGTTTAAAGGTATGGGAGCTAATATGGCAAAATGTTAACAACATTGATACTAGTTAGATGGAGTACTGTTTATTATTGTTTGAATTTCATTTTACATTTGAGAATTTTAGAGATGATAACTTAAGGAGAAACAGATTCTCGTAGACAACATAGATTATGATACTGTTCTTTATAAAGTTCAAGGATAATCGCTTCTTACATTCTAAATACTTTGTCTTAGTTTAGCCTAGTGCTTCATTTTATCCTGTATTTCTTCTTCTTTGTTGTTCTCTTCGTCTGTTCATGGTGTCAGTACGATTAGCATTCTCTCTCACTATTCCCAGATACTGAGAAGAATATTTATTCTTTGGAAGAGCATACAATTGGAAAGCATTTGATTATAATGAGTATTGCAGGCTGTCTTTTTATTCTCTTCATTTTCCTTTGTGATAATACTTTGTGGAAATTGAGAAAATTTCTCAATAAACATGTTTACTTTGCTATCTACAAGAAATATAAGAAGGTGAGTGCTTAAGATGAACTCTAAGAACATTGAAAATTAGGTCCTCAAAATTATGTGTTGATATGTGACTACCAGTTACCTGACTCAGTGGCCAAATAAAAGAAAAACTCATCTGCATGAAAATAAATATATAACATTACTGAGGTAAAATTATCTCTAACAAAGTGAATTCTCTTTGATGATCATTTCAAGGGACTAAAGTTTATCTTTATGAATTTTCTGTATTGCTGACTATTTTCTCTTTCATTGATGTTTTGATTATAATTTCCTTTATATTTCTCCTCTCTTAGAAGCCTTAATTTCACAGCTTTTAGGTTTCTCCTCATTTCTAAATAAGTATTTAAACTAATCATTCCCTAAAAGCACTACTCTAGCTATGCCCTTAAATTCTGATGTATTATTTTTATTTTTTAATTGAAAAAAATTATATGTATATTTAAATGTATAGCTTGATGGTTTKATATACATGGTGGAATGGTTTAGTTAAGCTTGTTAATATATTCGATATCTCATATATTTATCTTTTCTTGTGGTGAGAACATTTCAAATCTACTCCTCTAAGTATATTCTTTCTTAAGTTGATTTTAATTGAAAAATAATAATTGTGTGTTTTAAGGGATACAGTGTAATGTTTTGATATGTTTACAGTGGAATGATTAATTCAAGCTAAAGCATTTAAGATATGCATTTTTAGTAATTTTGAAATATATAATAGTCAACATTCAGTGTGTGATAAGAAACAAAGCTTATTGCTCACATCTAACTGAACCTTTGCTCAGCTTTTCTTACCCCACAAGCCTCTGATAGCCATCGTTCTGCTCTTTACTTTTATGAGTTTAATGCTTTTAGAATCTACATATAAATGAGGTCATGCCATATYTGGCTTTTCATATCTGACTTATTTCACTTGACATAATATCCTCTAGGTTCATCCATGTTGTTCCAAATGACAGGATGTCCTTTTTTWAAAGGCTAAATATCATTTCATTATGTATTTAACCACATTTTGCTAATCATACATCTTTTGATGAATACTTAGGTTGATTCAATATTTTGGCTATTGTGAATAGTGCTATCATGAACATGAGAGTGTAGATATTTACAAGGTGATGATTTCATTTTCCCGGGATATATACCCAAAAGAGGGATTGCTTGGTCATATGGCAGTTCTATTTTAAACTTCCATACTATTTTCCATAATGGCTGTGTTACCAGAGTCTTAGATGAGAGGCCCAATTCAAGAGGTCCCAACAAATCAGGTCTGGGCACTCACCCCATAAACCAAATGGAAAAAGTAATGGTGACAAGAGGGAAAGGAATTTTTTAATAGATACAGCTACACAAGGAAGACAAAAGTGACCAGCATTTCTGGGGTACTAGTGTGAGCATCCACATTACATAGAGAGGGGGACCAGAAATATAGAGTCAAGTAGTCTTGCCCAAGCTGATCATGATCTCAGGGCTGGTCAGGTAGGACCTTGCTGGTGATAAGAAAGTTTCTGTTTCCTGGGGGATAGTTTCAACTCATCACTAGATGTATATCTATCGGACTTGCTTCTGGAATTCAAGGTAACTCAGAGCATAGGAGACAAATGCAAAATGAAGATGCCACTTTTTCCCCTGTTTTCCATTACCCATTGGACATTTGCAGGTTCAAATGAAGAGTCAATGTTTTTAGCCAAAGCAACCTACCTCTAAGTCTTTGTTATACCTGTACTTATTTATATTCCCACCAACAGCATACAGGGTTCCCTTCACAACATTTCCAACACTTGCTATATGTTGTTTTTTATGATAAATATTGTGTGTGGGTCAGGAGTTATCTCATTGTGGTTTTCTTCATTTTGTAAATTAGTGAATTATAGTTATTCATAACTATAATTTTGACATAATTCTTGCAACTTTGGAATATAATTTGCTTCAATAAGATCTCTAATAATTTCCTTTTTCTCCTGTCCTCCCTTCCCATGTTCATTTTACTTTACTGGTCTTCCTTCTATTTGCTTATAGTTTTTTTTAATTAGTGCTTTATAGGTAAACATAAAGGTGAAATTACTGTGATATACTCTTACATGCACATAAGATTTGGTCAATTTCATTCCACCATTCTTCCCTTTTCCCTTCCCTCCTCTCTCCCTTTCAATCCCTCTCCTTTGCTCCTTTCCATTTTGTTGTTTCCTCTGCTGTGCAGACCTTTTTTGTTTAATGTAGTCCTGTTAGGTTTTTTTTTGCTTCTGTAGCCTGATTTTTTGATGTAATATTTTTATGTAATCATTTTTTTATAAAATGCTGTTATCCTATTGGGCCTCTCTAGTTAGTTTCAGATGATTTTCTCTTATTGATCCCAGGATTTTCTCCTTATCTTTGACTTTCAGCATTTTTACTGATATGTTTTTATATGGATATCTTTGTGTTTATCTCACTTGGTTTTCCTTAAGCTCCTTGAATATATAATATTTTTCATTATATTTAGAAGTTTCCAGCTAGTCCTTTTTTGAATATTTGCTAGTTTATTGTYTAGCAACCAGCTCAAATATTTTAATAAACTCTGGTTCCCTTGCGGTGTGAAGCCTGTGATAGTCCTCAGAGGGTGTGGGCCTAGGCATGGGCACAAACACCCTGAAATGGCAGTGAGGTTTTTGGGGCTCTTTTTGACTATGTCTTTCATGACCATACCCAGCTGTTGAACTCCACTAATTGCTGCCTGAATTTGGTATGGTTTTCAACAATGCACTAGGGCATGATTTTCCAAGTACTGATCCAATTTACTGATCATCTTTGGAGAAGTAGTTAAGGTCAATGAATAAATTTCATTGCTATCCCAAGAGGATTCTTTATATATCCTCTCTGGTAAAATAGCTAGCCTGAGCTTTATTTTTTTTTTTGCTTTAAATTTTTAAAATTTTATTTATTTATTTTTATTTTAATTAGGTATATATGACAGCAGAATGTATTTTGATTCATACATGTACCTAGGATAATATGTCCACTATCTTTCCTACCCCCATGCACCCTCCCTCCTCTCCCACCTCTTTGCCCAATCAAAGTTTCTCCATTTTCCCCATGCCTCCCACCTCCCTGTTATGTGTCAGTTTCCACTTATCAGAGAAAACTTTTGGCCTTTAGATTTTGGGGATTGGCTTACTTTGTTTAGCATGATATTCTCCAGCTCCATCCATTTAACTGAAAATGCCATAATTTTATTCTCTTTTAATGCTGAGTAATATTCCATTATGTATATATACCACATTTTTTATCCATTCATCTATTGAAGGACATCAAAGTTACTTCACAATTTAGTCATTGTAAATTTAGCYGCTATAAACATTGATGTGGCTGCATTACTATAGTATGCTGATTTTAAGTCCTTTGGGTATAGACTGAGGAGTAGGATAGCTGGGTCAAATGGTGGTTCCATTCCAAGTTTTCTAAGGAATCTCCATAATGCTTTCCAGATTAGTTGCACCAATTTGCAGTCCCATCAGCAATGTATGAGTGTGTCTTTTCCCTCACATCCTCACCAACACTTATTGTTGTCTGTATTCTTGATAACTGCCATTCTGAAGGGAGTGAGATGAAATCTTGGAGTAGTTTTGATTTGCATTTCTCTAATTATTAAAGATGTTGAACAGTTTTTCCGATATTTGTTGATTGAATGTATATCTTCTTCTGAGAAGTATCTGTTAAGTTCTTTAGCCCATTTATTGATTGGGTTGTTTGTATTTTTGGTGTTGTTTTTTGAGTTCTTTATATATCCTAGAGATTAGTGTGTGTGTGGCAAAAACTTGCTCCCAAAATGCAGGCTTTCTGTTCACCTCATTGATTGTTCAGTTTGCTTAGGAGCAGTTTTAGATTGAATCCATCCCATTTATTAAGTCTTGATTTTATTTCTTGTGCTTTAGGAATCTTGTAAAGGAAGACAGGGCCTAATCCAAAATGATGAAGATTTGTGCCTACTTTTTCCTCTATTAGGTGCAGGGTCTCTGGACTAATTCCTAGGTCCTTGATCCACTTTGAGTTGAGTTTTTTGCATGGTGAGAGATAGGGGCTTATTTTCATTTTGCTGCACATGTATTTCCATTTYTCCTAGCACCATTTGTTGAAGAGGCTATCTTTTCTACAGTGCATGTTTTTGGCACCTTTGTCTAGTATGATATAACTGTATTTATATGGTTTTGTCCCTGTGTCTTCTATTCTGTAGCATTTGTCTACATGTCTATTTTGGTGCCAATAGCATGCCATTTTTGTTACTATAGCTTTGTAGTATAATTTAAGTTCTGGTATTGTGATGCCTCCTGCTTCACTCTTCTAGCTAAGGATTGCTTTGACTATTCCAAATGAATTTATGATTTTTTTAAATTTCTATAAGGAATGAAATTGTCATTTTTATTGGAATCGCATTGAATCTGTATAGCACTTTGGRTAGTATGGCCAAATTTAYTTATTTTTTTAATGTGGTACTGAGTATCAAACCCAATACCTCACCCATGTGAGGCAAGTACTCTACCACTGAGCTCCAGCCCCCATGCTTTAGATTTTATCTCTTTTAGTCATTGTAAATTGAGCCACTATAAACATTGATGTAGCTGCTTTCCACATCAATGTTTATAGCAGCTCAATTTACAAGCATTGTAATTGCTTAATTGCTTTCCACCAAAATATCCATTACTGATCAGAGCATCCTTAGGTTGTAACTTTCCCATGCTGTTTCAAATAAAGTAAATTACACTGGATAGAGCAAAGGAATTCTGTTTGACAGCCTAACTCTCCTCACTAGGCAAAATTGGTGGTTCAGATATGGGACAGTAATACAATGGGACTTCAGTATTCCTACCAACTTAATAGGTTTTCTTGAATAAATTTTTCTCCATTTACATTACAGAACATCCTTRGATCATTTCAAAAAATTTTAAGTGATCATATGTTAAAATAATTTTCAGCAGTTTCACTGGAGCACAAATTCACAGATATCTAATATTGCCATTCTGAAAGTCACAAATATTTTCTATGTGAAGTGTTACTGAMTGTTTCTCTCTCATGTTTAGATTGTTCTTAGCTATAGCTTCAGTTTTTCATGAGGTGTCTRATTTGGGAAAAATAACAATAAGCTACGTATTCCTGATTTCTTAAACTGAAAAGAGCAATAGTCAATTTGTTCTGAAATGATTGGACAAAGCACTTTTGAAAATTATGCCAAATTTCTTTTCTAACATCTTGGTATTTGTTTTTTTCAGAGGCTACTTGGTCTAATMAAGAGCATTTATATCTGTAACATTTATCTAAAAATATCATCCACTGGGTCCAAACAGGCCTTGCTGATGTTTTTTTTAGTTCCCATTCCTTTTTACTTTTTGCAAGTTTATTTATGATTACAAATGCATTACTTTAACTTTCCCGACTCTCTTGAGATGGCTTCATTTGTAAGTATCCACGTGATAAAATCATTTCTCTGAATGCTTTGAATTGTATATTTCAGAGATTTTAAAGTATACATAGTAGCATGTTAATTTACACTTTTGGGGAGATACAGGAAATTTAACCAAGGTGACACTTAACTATGCCACATCCGCAGCCCTTAAATTTTTTTTTATTTTGAGATAGGGTCTCACTAAGTTGCTTAGAGCCTCACTAATTTACTGAGGCTGACCTCAAACTTGCAACCATCCTCTTGCCTCAGATTTCATGAAGCCATTCAGTTTATGATTCTTGTCTTAAAAATATAGGATATAATTTCCAAGGAATTATCTGGAGAATCTCCAGATAAAGATGTAGAAGATGAGAGAAAGAGAATTCTGGAGCATTCTAAAGAGTTGATGAATTCCCCGGTGCTTATTAAGGAACTCACAAAGGTAAATCATTCAACAGCCAAAATATTCTGTCTTCATAGCTCCCTGAGAGCATGCCATTGGTGTCAAGGACTCGCTGTGGTTCTTCAGCATCTATGTGTATTCTACCAAGATAGTTCTCAGGAAACTGTCTGAGGTAGTGGCCCATAGGTCTAAGGTATTTATTGCATTTGACCTATAAATATTCTTTACTAAACTGTATTTTCTGAATTTTTTAGATATACTTTACATATCCAGTAATTCTGGCTGTGAAAAATATTTCCCTGGAAGTCCAAAGGCAGGAGTGCTTTGGATTACTTGGATATAATGGAGCAGGTAAAACAAGTACATTCCAAATTTTGACTGGAGAGCAGAGTCCTACCTCTGGGGATGTGTTTATTGATGGCTTTAGCATCACCAAAAATATACTAAAGGTAAGATTATATTACAGTATAAGATGACTTATGGGTGCAGGTTAACAGGCAGATGGCTAGGGATAATAGATGATGATCCTGGTGGATATTGTATTGAATTCTGAAAAGAGAAAATTTTGAAGAGAGAATGAAGCAATTAGAGCATAACTTACAACAAGAGTGTCTTTTATGTCTTTGAAATTATTGGAATAAAAGGCAAAATTCTCTCAACAGTGCATCTAACATATGCCAAACAAGGTATGGTAAGGGTAGAGAGACTGGGCAGAAGAAGATTTTCTGCAATTCAGTTGCAGCTTAGCCCTTGATCAATATTACTAAGGGCTCTGAAGCACTATGTCACTTTTCAGTGTGATGGCAAATCAAAGTGGGATCTATCTTTTAGATACTATCTAAATACAAATACTACCCTTTGTATTCCTGTATCAGCTAGTCATTGGCTAAACATGCCATCTAGAAGATGGCTCATCACTTTGGGAAAAAGCTAAGTGTGGTGAGAATTTCAAGAAGAAGAAAATGGTCAAATTTCAAATGCTAGGAAATCTGAGGGAAGCCTGAATAGTGTACTAAATTATTGAATATAGAGCATTTCATCAATGAGGGTGTCGAGAACAATCCAGATTTCTTTTCTAACATCTTGGTATCTGTTTTTTCAGAGGCTACTTGGTCTAATCAAGAGATTCATATCTGTAACATTTATCTAAAAAGATCCATTGGGTCCAAAGAAGTCACTCCTCTACATCCCAAGCCCCCCATCAGGTCTTTTTASAGGGAAAATTTCAGTTTATTGTTTCTTTTTCCTTTGGGTGGGTCATATTTTCTGTTTCTTTGTATGCTAGTGAGTTTTTATTGAAAATTGGACTTTTGAATCTGATAATGTGGTAACTCTAGGGATATTATTCTCCTACTATTGCTGGTTTCCTGTCAGTTTTTTAGTTGTCATTGTTTTTTATTGTTCAGGTTTTATTGTCCAAGGCTCATTCTGTGCTTGGATTCAGCCCAAAATACAAATTTAGGGCAATATGGTCTTTTCTGAGCCTGTCTATACATTTCCCTGAACAGAGGTATCACCTTCTAATTTTATTTATTTATTTAAGTTTTTTAAAGGATGAAAAGAGAAAAATGAACATGAGAGTGCAGGGATTCCTTTAAGTCCACTGGAATTTATTTTAGCCCACTAGAGATTGGGGAAGCTTGAACTATGCCAGGATTAGGGGCATGAATAATCTAGTCGATGTAAATTAAATATTTGTTTAAATTCACAACTTTTCTCTGGCTACTTTAGCGATGTATACCTGAGTGCAAATCAGCAAAAGTGTTTGACCAATTTCTGAAGCAACACTCATTTTAGTCTCCTATTTGTGGAGCATTGCTTTGAGTTCAGTCTGATGTGGAACAAGATGTGCACATGGCTGTGCAGATCGAGCAGTGTAAAATCATCCATGGTAGCCATGCCATTTGGAACTCCTGATTGAGGAAGGGAACATCTCAGTTTTCAATACTATTTCAAATYGAGTATGCACTGAAATTTTATTTTTAACTTCTTCATCTTCAAGATCATTAATACTGTTTAAAGGAAACTATTATTATAGTGTTCTATAATTGGCCCAAGAGCCATACTTTGGTAGCCCTTCAGAAAAGAAAAATTCTTGGTAGGACTCTTAGAAGCATGACCTGGAGGACTGCAGGTCTTTCTCATCCATGGATGTTCAGTAGGATGGATGATGTAGGTTTTTACTTAAAGTAATTCTTATAATTAGGTGAAGTCAAGAATTGGCTATTGTCCTCAATTTGACGCTTTGCTGGAATACATGTCTGGCCGGGAAATAATGATCATGTATGCCAGAATATGGGGAGTTTCTGAGCACCAGATTCATCTGTATGTGAACAAACATTTGAGCTCATTGGAATTGGAGCCACATGCKGACAATATTATCAGGACCTACAGGTAAATCATTATGCTGCTTTTTTATTGTTGTTGTTGTTGTTAATGATGCTGCTAATCTTGAAGTGTTTCTCCTCTGTGTTCCTGATATTTGAAATGAATAACCACAGCTCCACCTATGTCCCTGTATCACAGTTACTAATTGTGAAACTGTCTAATGCCCTACTAGATTTCAGTTTCAAGTAAAAAGGCAGATGCATCAAGTTCCACATTTTCCCTTTGCAGAGATGAAACTCAAAATCCTAGTTCTATTTGATTTGCAGCTCTGAACCTCAAGAGGGAGCATCTTATTCCTAGTGTTCCTATGGTTCTTTGTCTTCTAAACAAAAGAGGAACATAGGCCTTATGATTAATGGTGGGTTTATGTACCTGGGAAACCATGATAACCTAAGAATGAGTAAATAAATGTTGTTGATAATGCTGCCCAAATCAGATACATAAAAGTCACTCCTCTACATGTCAAAATAAAATGAACACACACACACACACACACACACACAAAATCTAAGGTTGGACTTGCTGCATTGTTAATCATCACAGTGGATGTTCATGTTAAATATTTGTTGAATCTCTCAGCATTTGGGATATTTGTGCTAAGTATTTTCCTAAATAACTGATATATATAGTCTCTTCTTCTACTTTCTATCCCTGCTCCTTGGACCATGAAGTGGAGGAAACAAACGTAGGTTGAGCACTGCTATTGCCATAATGGGAAAGTCCTCAGTCATCTTTCTGGATGAGCCATCTACTGGTATGGACCCAGTAGCCCGACGCCTGCTCTGGAACACAGTGACAAAGACACGTGAAAGTGGAAAAGCTATCATTATAACCTCCCATAGGTCTGTGTGGCTCATTGAGGGGCTTGGTTAAGGCTGGAAGGAGTTGTAGTGGCTCTAGAAGAAATTATTTGGGGTCAGGAATATGGGATGGTAAACTTGCAAATGAATATGAGCTTCTCTTTAGGAATTAGGTTTCATTTTAATTCCTAATGAGTGGAATGGCTAAGAATTTTTAGTATGTTGAAAACTCCAGAGTAGGCAGAAGACAGGAAATTTCAGAAGATGTTACATTTGAGAATTGGGTAATACTATTATTTATCATTTTTWAAAAATACACTTTCCAGTTATGAGCTTGATGATTGGTAGGTTCAAATTCTGATTGCAAATAGAATCACAAAATCTTGGCTGTTTCAACCCTATGTCCTCCAAAGGAAAACTGTTTAGCCTTACATTATTCTGCTYTCTTATTTTGCAAGCATGGAGGAATGTGATGCCCTTTGTACCAAGATAGCCATCATGGTGAAGGGGAAACTTATGTGCTTGGGCAGCCCTCAGCACCTCAAGAACAAGTTCGGTGATATTCATATCCTGAAAGTCAAGGTCAAGACTGAGGATAAATTAGAGGATTTTAAATATTTCATCAAAATGACATTTCCAGGTAAATGCAGTTGCTTTAACTTTGTTAGAGATGTGTTAAATCATATTTTTTGTTCTCACCATGCATATGATTTATGTCTTCAACATCAGTTTTGTGCAAGTTATTGACATCTGTAAGAATGGAGATCAGAAAATATATAAAATAGATTGTAGAACAGAGTGGAGAACATGTGGAAAAATAATCATCTTAGCATTGGTCATAGTTATTATGATGTGCCTATGAAAATCTATGCAGATAGACATGTACATCAAGAATTAAATATTCAATTATTCATTCATGCAACAAATATTTTTGAATACTCATTAGTACTAGAGTTCTATTTGATGTGGTATCTAAATCTCCACAAAGAAAATTATGACCAGAAAACCTCATTTACCATAAACTGTCCTAGCAACTTGTAGACGCAAGCACTTTTACAAGAATATGGTTTGAGACACATTTTTAAGTGTAAAGTAGTGGTCATCTAGTTCATCTGTAATTAGTCCTTGAGCAAATAGTATTGAAATATGACAGAATTTTAAAAATTAACTAATACTAAATCTATACATAAATATTAATATCTAAAATGAAGAAAGAGGACCCACTTATTCTATTTTATAGAATATAAGCACTGGCCCCAAAATATAGCCAGTTAAGATCTTTAAATTAAAAGTRAATAAATAAGGAATAAATGTTATAAGCAAAAGGCAGCCAGAATGTACTCTTCTAAAAAGGTCTTGCCAGAGGAATCAGAATTTTTAAAATGAGTCCACACAATCTCAAGGAAATTTAATTGATTGTGTATTATTTTTTCATGCACAAGTAAGATGATTCCATTTCTGCAGTGAGAAAGATTATATCTCCAAGAAACACTTCTGGTAAACTTAAATAAGAAATTGATAAAATTAAACAAGATATAATTTAGTGCAATAATTGGCTGAGAAACAAAGATAAGAAAATTCTTTAACAGCCAAAAAAGAAAATAGGAAAAGCAAGAAAGAAAAAAAAATAAGTTAATGGTGAACTGAAACATGAGAGTGAGCAGTAAGAAACACATCCCAAAAGACTCTGAGAAAGGAATCCTATAGCTATGAAGATAAGAATGTTATTTTGTCTGCTCCACCTATTACATAGGTATCTCCTTCCAAAACTATAAGAATATTCATCTCACTTAAACGTGACCAAACATAAGGATTATAATTGAACCCCACAGAAAACTTTGACTAGCAGAAAAKGATAMGAGCAAAACCTTATAAAATAATGAAAACACAGAAGATGTATAATACCACAAAAGAAATAAATCTATTATCTTTCAGTATGAATCTAACAAACTACAAATAAGATAGATGCCATGAAAGAAAATCCTGAATCATAATTGAAAGGGCTAAGAAATTAGATGACTAGACAACAGAATATTCAAAGACAGCAACAACATTGGAGAGGTTTTTTTAAAGTAAACATTTCATAAATACATAAATATAAAGAACAAATAGCATAGAAGGTACAAGGAAATGGAGACTGGAAAGTAGGAAAACATCAGACAGACATATTGATAAGCATTTGGGAACAAATATGTAAGAAGCAAGGCAATGACAATCCAATCCAAGTACAAAGTARTCCACAAAGAAGAAAGTAAAGTGATAGAAGAAATATTAAAAGCTAACATTTAAAAATTTTTCTGAAATAAAGAAGACAAACCTAATACTAGAAGGGTAACTGGACAACTGAGAAATTGACCTAATATCAATACCAAGATAAATATTGTATTTTAATAATAACTGGAGAAGGGGGACCTTTGGATACAAATAAAACGAGCAGGGAAAGAAAGAAAAGGTAAAGAAAATTAGATAGACCTCAGATTCATAGCTAAAATGTTTTGTTAGGAGAAACTATAAGCAAAATGTAAGATAAGGTTTTTATATGCAGCCAAAATGACCTTCAAGAATGAAAGTCACAAAGAGTTATGGACACATAAAAACTCAAGGAATTTTACTCACAAAAAGCCCTTTCTGGAGAATAAACAAACAAAAAATTTCTTTATTACCTTTTAAATCACTGAAAAAGCTTCTGCATAATCTGTATTGGTGAAGGGCTGGAGTTGTAGTTCAGTGGAAGAGCACTTGCCTGGCATGTGTGAGGAGGCACAGGGTTTGATTCCCAGCACCACATATCAATAAATAAAATAAAATAAAAGTCCATCAACAACTAAAAATATTTTTTTAAAAAGATGTATTGGTGAGTCTTGGATGTCTTTAACTTTAGACCTAAGCTTAAACGAAGGAGTTCTAGGTGAGAGAATATCATAAAATTGAAAAATATTTTAGAAATGTATATAAAGTAATCAAAAACAAAATATGTGAGAAGTACTATATAGGAATAAAAGAATATTAATGTCCTGATGGCTAAAACTATGTGCATTGGCTTGGTATGGAAAAGCAGGCCAGCAGTCTGGGAGCCAGCACAGTGTGGGGGATAGTACAGAGTCTGACTGGTTTGGCATTGAGAGTGGTGGGAAGCTTGGAGTTGCAGCCTAGCACTAGGGCCAGCCTAGAAGCTTGGTCTGAAGGTACTGACTTGGAGTCTGGTACTGTGAGGGCCATCAGACCAGCACTTACAGACCTAATCTCCATGCTGGCCCCTACAGATACAGGATCAAGGCTAGTACCCACATACTGACATCCCAGCTTGCTCTGGTGCCATGCAGAATCCTGCAGGCCTAGGTTCCAAGACTCCAGCAGACTTGATCTCTAGACCTGACCCAGTTCCAGTCAAGCACCTTCATGTACAATCTTCAGGTGTACACAGTGCCAGGCTAGTCCCTATGTCTCTAATCTACAGGAGAGCCCCTTCAGCCCCAAGATCTAGCAGTCTGTGTATATTCCAGTAGATCCCAGCAATGGACCAGACCTAAGCTCTTAAATACCTCTGTATACCCAGGTCCCAGGTTATATCCCAAGGTGAGATCCCAAGGTTCTAGGAGATAGGCTATTCCTTCTATACTAACCTCTAGGTCCGCATATGCACACCCAGCCTTTAAGCCAACCCCAGCTTCAGGCACTAGGCCAGCACCTATAATTCTAGACTTCAGGCCACCTTGCAGGAACCCAGGCTCTGCCAGCACCAGGATCCTGATCAGTCCCTGTGACCCTCAGGATCAAAAGGATCCAGGGATCAAGACTACTTCAGTAGACCCAGGTTTTAAACCTATCACAGTAGAATCCAGTGCCAGGCTGGATACCCATAATTGTGTCTCCAAGACCACCACTGTACCCTGGGTCTATAAGCCAGCCACTATAGAGGTTGAAAAATTGTTGGAAAATTTCAAAGCAATTTTATTATTTTAAACATCTCAAAGAAAATATCTCAGTAATTTAGATATAAAAGGAACTTTCCTCAACATATAAAATGTAATCTATGATAAGACCACAGCTAACATCATACTCTACAGTGAAAAATTGCAAGCTTTTCCTCTTTTAGGAATTAAAGACAAAACAAGGATGCCYAATCTTGCCATTTCCATTCAACATAATACTGAAAATGGGTCATATCCCATTTATATAAATCCCATCTCTTCACTTGTCCACTTTTTACAATTAAATATATGTGGAAATATTCTAGAATTTWAAAAAAAAATCTGTGAGATCGGRGCCTGGGGCTGTCTCAGAGGTACAGCGCTCACCTACCATGTGTGGGGCAATRGGTTCAATCCTCAGCACCACATAAATATAAAATAAAGATATTGTGTCTACTTATAACTAAAAAATAAATATTTTWWAAAAAATCTGTGAGATAATTTACCTGTACTATTTTCCTTTCTTAGATAGTATCTTGAAGGAGGAGAATCAAAGGATCCTTAACTACCACCTTCCGAAAAAAGACAATAGCTGGGGAAAGGTGATGATAGAAACCATGCCCTCCTAACACTACGTGTTAAGAGAGCATTAATAATTAAAAGTATTTGGATTCAGTCATGTGGAATGGGACATTGGAGGCTTTAGGCTATTTTTCAAACATTTCTATAGTTTAGTTGCTTTAATTTGTTGTGCCTGAATCCTATTAGTAGTCCATGTTCATCCAAAGAATGGGAACAGATAACTTCTTCCTCTCAGTTCCTCAATTATTTATTTCTTCTACTTACCCCTCTCCCCTTTCCGTGGCTTTGGCCTTTACATAAATTTGACAAGAGTTGGGGAAGAGATGGGGAGGCTCCTTTGGGTTGGGGGCTGGAGGGGAGATTGTAATGGTAACTACACATTTTTATTGTTGTCATTGAAGGTATTTGGTGTTTTGGAGAAAGCTAAAGAGCGATTCAATTTAGAGGACTATTCCATCAGTCAGATAACCCTGGAACAAGTCTTCCTGGCCTTTGCTAACCCCGTTAGTGGATTAACAGCAGATGATGATGAACAACAGGTTCCATGAGACTCAGTTGCAACCAATGACTTGCATGTCTTTCTTCGACTACACCTGTATACATAGAGGGACATTCTTGTGTGTGTGTGTGTGTGTGTGTGTGTGTGTGTGTATACATACACACACAAATATATTTATATAATAAAGATTTCCCTAAGGGAGAAAATGTGTCCCCTTATTTGCAGATTTAGATTAGATGCCTATGTGTATAACATGTGCAAATATAAAGTCATTTGGTGAAATTCCTCTTTTATTTCCTAGGAATAGCCAAGAGTAATATTTATCAAGGTAAGTATAAGGACCTATTCCTGAATATTCTGAGTGTTTCAATGAAACATGAAAAGTATCATGTGTTCAGCAGCTGATTATGGATAAGAAAAGCATAAGTCATAGAGCAAATCAACATTGTCACAAACAGAAGGAAGGTGTACATATACAGATAAATATATGCACACAAATTTTATTCCTTAATATATCAAATTCAAATCAACATCAGTGTTTGAGGGATGAGTTGTGTTACTATTTCCACAACCCAACATAAAGTCCTTATGCTCCAATTATAAAAAGAATAATTTCACCAAGAACATTTGGAGTAATGGAACAGAAAGAAAAATATCCTTTAAARAGTGTGTATTTCTCCCTACACTTTCCTCAGCTCTAAGAAAGAATAAGGAGAAAAGAAGTAGAGAGAGAGAGAGACAGAGACATTTTTCTAGGCATATGAAATAAGCAATATAAGAAATATTATCATCTGTCTGGGATTTATGGGAAGATGAGCAATTAAGATGCTTCTTGTATAATTGAAAGTGTCCATGAAGCTGCAATATTTTTGAGTGGCTTGTTCAAAGTTTCCAAACTCTTCATTGGATAAGATCAATTATAGAGTGATATCCAGAAGATTACTCATTATTTTGTTCTTTTTAGATAAGRAAGAATTAGAGTGTTTTGTTTTTGTGAAGTATCTGGAAAAATGAACAGTCTCAAATGTGTAGTTTTCTCTTTGTCTACTTAAGCTATATCCACCTGAATGCAAATCAACAGAAAAGTTTGACTAATTTCTAAAGCAACACTCATCACAGTCTCCTGTTTGTGGTATCAAAAAGTCATATGACACAGAAAACAATAACAAAATAAATAAGTATTCTTTATTGTTATTACTTTTAATGTATGTGTATCAAACTTTTCAATCATACAGAGACGGCAGAATTGATTTAAAAAGCATGATGTAAGAATATACTGCCTAGAAGAGATAYTTTAGATMAAAAGATGCAAAAAGTCGAAAGTTCAAGGATTCCACACAAACAGTATCCACATAGAGATGGATGGCTAACTAATACCAGCAAAATACAATTTAAAAAGTGTTTCAAGAGACTAAAAGGATATTTTACATTAACAGAAGGGTTAATGCATTGAAGGGTTAATGCAGCAATAAATAATTGTTGTTATAAATAGGTAGATAGCAAGAGTCAGAGTCACAAAATAAATGAAGCAACATTTTTTAAAAAATTGAAGAAATAAAAAAACATAGTAATACTAGGAGACTTCAATGTACCATTTTCAATAATGGATTGAACAGCCAGACAAAATATGGAAATATGAATAACACAACAAATTCATTGGACATCATAACATATAAAGAACACTCCAATAAAAAGCATCAGAATATACATACTTCTCAAGTGCACATGGAACATTCTCTAGTATATATACCAAATCGTAGGCTATAAAGCAGGCCTGAGTAAATTTAAAAATACTAAAATCCTGGAGTGCCTTATGGACCCAAAATATAATAAATCTAGAAATCAAAAAAAAAGGAAAACTGAAAA